TGTGAAAGAATGCACACTTATGGTTTCATTCATGGGCAGAGCTTAGAAACCATGCACTAATATATACTTAGGTTAGAGCATATGGTAGCTTCAATTTATTTTCAAAATAAAAAGGTGCACATTTATAGAGACAGAAAAGGATAAGGTCAAACTTAAATGTTGACACTGGAGGAATGTGGGTAATGGAGAATAAAAGTCAAGATTAAAGAGTTGGTGTCGTGATAAATGATGACATCACAGAAGCAAAGAATGTGATTGCGGCTGGGCCGTGGGCTGTGGAATTCCAGGTGTCCCGTTTTGGAAAAAATACCACACATTTATTTATTTGTTTACTTTGTGAGTGTGTGTGTGTGTGTGTGTGTGTGTGTGTGCATATACATGTTCCTATGCTTGAGAGTATATGCCACCATGCACATATGTGGAAGACAGATAATTTTTTTTGTAGAACATGCTGGCCTTGTACTCATAGAGATCCCCTGCTTCTGCCTTCCCAGTGTTGAAATTAAAGGCGTGCACTACCATGCCTGCCATGCTTTCCTTAGATAGATAGATAGATAGATAGATAGATAGATAGATAGACAGATAGATAGATAGATGGTAGGTAGAGTATTGGATGGATAGATAGATGGATATGGTTTAGATAGAGTATGTTGTAGTCAGAGGACTACTCCTTTTTCAGGATTTATTTTTATTTTTAAGTTATGTGTAGTATCTGCAGTTGATCTTAGCCCAACGGCTGAGAAGCAATATGTATAGTAACTGTATTTCTGTGTGTCTGTATACCCTGTCCCCAAAAGAGGGCAAGAGACCCTCTGAAACTGGAGTTGCAGACAGTTGTGAGCTGTCTGTCACGTGGGTGCTGGGAACTGAACTCAGGTCCTCTGCAAGAGCAGCCAGAGCTCTTAACCACTGAGCAACCTCTCCATCCCTCAGAGGACAGCTTTCCAGAGTTGGTTCTTCCCCTCAGACCATCAGCCTTGGCAGCAAAGATGCCACCTTGCTAGCCCAGGACTCATGCTTTCCCTCTTCAAAATCTACTACAGAACAACAGCAAGCAAAGCACTTTGGTGCTGGCCCAAGGGAAAACATATACAATAGTTCACTCCCCTAGTTTATTCCAGAATATTCTATGGACCAGAACAGAAATCCAAGACAAAAGTCCTCTTATATATGGCCAGACTTTTCAAAAATATTTACTTTTATTTTACGTGTATGAATGCTTAGCCTGGTACATATGTATGTGTGCCATGTGCACACTTGGCACCTGAAGAGGCCAAAGAGGGTGCTGGACCCCTGGGAACTGGAGTTAGATAGTTGTGAGCTGCCATGTGTGACTGAGAACCAAATCAAGGTCCTCTGTTAAAGCCAGCAAGGTCTCCAAAGTGCTGGGCATCTCTCCAGCCTGGCCAGATGCTTTTGATGAAGGAGCAAAGGCTGTTTGATGTGGGGTGAGCAATTCGCAGGCTGCTGACCTCAGAGAAACTAGATATCACATATGGAAGAATCAAATTGGATTTTACAGGAGATGCTGAAAGTAACTTGAAATCAACGTTACAATGTAGCAAAGGCCAAAACTTAAGAGCTAAGATTAGGGAAGAAAATAGAGGATACAATGTATTGATTTAGCTATGGCTTCTTAGATATAGGTAATAAAAGAAACAGGCCCAGGGAGACGACTCACTGGGTAAGATGCCAGACATCAAGTCTGACAATCTGAGTTTGAGCCCCACGACCCAAGGAATGGAAGGAGAAAGCCCATTCCTAAAGGTTCTTCTTTTACCTCCACTCACACACTGTGACATGGTGTTCTTTCCACACAAAATAGATAATTAAAATTAACCCCAGCACTCGGGAGGCAGAGGCAAGTGGATCTCTGTGAGTTTGAGGCCAGTATAGTCTACATAGAGAGAGTTCTAGCACAGCCAGAGCTACAAAGAGAAACCCTGTTTTTTGGAGGGGAAAAAAGCGGACAAATTGGACTTCATAAAAATGGAAAGCTAAGTGGCCTGATGTCACACACCTATAATCCCACACTTGGAAGGTAGAGGTAAGAGAATCAGGAGTTCGATTCCCAAAATCAATGTTGGGTGTCTCACAACCACCTCTTAACTACAGCTCCAGGGAGTGAGATGCCCTCTGCTGGCCTTCCCAGGCACCTGCATGCATATTTGCATATTTAAAATGCACATACACTTTAAAAACACAAATGATGTAATTGTATTATCGTATCAAAAGTTAAAATAAGTGATTTCATGAAATAAATAAAATTAACCCCCCAAAATAAAAATAGAGGAGGAAAAAAAGTCCAAACAACTGGCAACAATAACTGTCGAGAAGGCGGAGAAAATGCAAATTAATAAAGGGATGGAAAATAGTTTGGGGGCCATGAAACACAGTATGGAAGCCTCTCAGAAGTGAATTCGGCATTACACAGTGACCTACCAATGCCTTTTCAGTCCCAAAAGAATCAAAACTAGAGACTTGTAGAGAGAGACACTCATCTGTGCTCAAACCAGTGTTTCTCAAAGTGTGAGCACAGACCAAGAGTGCCAGCAAGTGGGTAAACAAACGAGGTGTGATTAATGAATCGTGACCTGTGGGGTGGGGCATGTGTACACGGTGCCAACGTGGAGGCCAGAGGTCAACTTCAGGGATCTTTCCGCCACCACTCTCCACATTTTCTTTTGTTTGCTTATTTGTTTTTCAAGGTTGGATTTCTCTGTATTCCTAGTGTCCTGGAACTCGATCTGTAGACCAGGCTGGCCTCTAACTCGGAGATCAACCTGCCTTTGCCTCCAGAGTGTTAGAATTAAAGACATGTACCATCACGCCTGGTCCATAAATTTTTTTTTATTTTTTATTTATTTTTTTTTTTTGGAGTGGTTAGAAGTTTTTGTTTTATGTGTACTTTTGTGCAATTTTCCTAACTCTCCACCAGAGGGCGGTACTAGCGCGTTTGAAAAGACCTGATCTAGCTGGGGCTTGTGGCTTGAACAGATGTGTATTGAGTTCTGGAGGTTCAGGTTAGACCTGGGCTGAGACTAAATCTGGTCAGAGGGTGTCTCCTGTAGGTAAACAGTCCCTGGGCCCCATTATTAAGATTCAATGGCAATGCCAGCATTGAGGCAAGAGTCCAAGTGTACATTAGTGAGAGGGACCTTCTTGAAACTAATGTGTAAAATCAAGTTCAAGACTAAGGCTGGCAGGACCTGAGGTTGGCAAGCTGGCAGAAGAAACAGCAAGAAGGTTCGGTGGTGGCGCAGGCCCTTAATCCCAGAGTCTGGGAGGCAGAGGCAGGAGGCTCTCTGTGAGTATGAGGCCAGGCTGGTCTACAGAGCTATTTCCCTGACAGCCAGGGATGCACAGAGAAACCCTGTCTCAAAAGTAAATAAACAAATAAAATAACAGGTGGCGTTTATAAGTTATTTCAGAGTGCCAGCTGTATTCTGAGTTTGGGGTTGATTTGTTTGTAGGCAGAGCTGGCTGGTGACAGAGCCCTGGACCTTGTCCATGCTTGGCAAGAGCTCTCCACAGAGCCATGTCCCGGCCTCCAGGCTCCTCTTACAGTGTCTCTAGAGCCATCAGTCACTTGGCTGCCCTGTGCTTCCCTCACTCAAAGCCTCCCCCACCTTTGCGGGGTTGACATGGTCCTGCTTTGGAAAAACAGCGGATGAGAGCTCTGTACAAGAGCAGGCGAACAACCCAAGGTGACAGGTATCTCCTTCATCCCCAGGGATCGGCATAAAAGCCTGTGTAACCCAGTCAGCACTAGTGAGAGCCCGAGTCCTGTTCCCAGCACACATGTCAGTTGACTCACAATCACCACAATCCAGGTGGATCTGATGGGATCTTGATGGGAACCTGCACTCATGTACACAGATTGACAGACACACATGCAATTCAGGGCAGGAATGTCATTGGATGAAAGGGCTTTGCAGTACAAACCTAACAGCATGGTAGATAAACACATCTAAAAACAAATGATTAGGAGCTGGAGAGATGTCACAATAATTAAAAGCTTCATAGTTAAAAGCATTTGTTTTCGAGACAGAGCTCCTCTGTGGCTTTGGAGACTGTTCTGGAACTTGCTCTTCTAAGCCAGGCTGGCCTTGAACACCCAGAGATCTGATAGCCTCTGCCTCCTGAGTGCTGGGATTAAAGGCATGAACCATCACCTCCAGGCTAAAACTTGCAGAGCTTTAAAGTTAGATTCTCAGCACCTACACAGCAGCTCACAACCTTCTATAGCCCCAGTTCCAGAGGATCTGATGCCCTCTTATGGCCATTGAAGGCACTGCATGCATGTGGTACTCAAAAGACAGGGCAGGCAGGCAAAACACACACACTGTGTGTGTGTGTGTGTGTGTGTGTGTGTGTGTGTGTGTGTGTGTGCACGCGTGTGTATACAAATCAAATTAAAAATAAAATCAAGACATGGTGGCATAAGAGTAGCTCATCCTTTTCATTGCTGTATAGTAGTCCATTGCCTGAGTCCCTGTTCATCCACCTCAATGCCCTCATCCAGTCCCATTTGGTGGACATCTGGGTTGCTTTCATTTGGGGCTAGGGTCCTTGTGGACATTTCTTACCCATGCTCATGTTCAAGTTCTGCAGACTCCATGTTTAGCGTGGACGGCAGGGGCTGTGAGCTATGTACAGTTTAAGTGTATGCAATAACTCTATACTGCTCCCTGTAAGTCAAAATAGTTGCAACAAACGAGACAAAGGTTGCTTAGCTGAGGTTGCAAAGCCCAACTGACTTGAACCTGAATTCCCTCTCACTGTTGTCCTGTCGGGCTGAAGGTTATTGGGGGCTGTCACTGGGGGGGGTTACATCCTGTTACTGTTATTCTGACCTCTGTCCTTAACCATTAATTATTAACCACTCCCCCCCAAAAGAGCCTGCTATCCTAAAGATTTGCCGGTTAATCAGTCACTGCCCCCCAGCTGGGCAAGGGACAGTTGGTAAAGCTGCCATCTGGCCCTGGTGTGGTGTGAAAATGCTCTGGGCGCGGCTGCCACTCTGCAGTCACTCCAGGCCCTCTACAGGTGGCTGGCAGCCCCTGCGTTTTGATGGCGGGGCCTTCCATCTGAAAGGAACAGCCAAGCTGGCGCGGGCTCTGCTGGTGCTTCGCCTGTGCGCCTGGCCCCCTTTGGTCACACATGGACTGGCGGTGAGCAGTGGGTACAACGGCTGGCCTGGAAGTTGCCCAGACCTGGCTCTGACCCCTCACTCTGGGTCACCCAGTTTCAGGCCTGGTCTCAGCGACTCCTGGGCTCTCGGCTCTCCCGCGCACTTCTCCGAGCATCCATCTATGGGCAGTTTGTGGCCGGGGAGACAGCAGGGGAGGTGACAGACTGTGTCCAGCAGCTACAGGTCCTGGGACTCCTGCCCCTGCTGGCAGTGCCCACCGAGGAGGAACCAGACTCCACTGCCAAGACCAGGTGAGTAGAGAGAGGCAAGGCCAGGGGAGGCTGGGGTGATGGCCGGCAGGGGGCTCGCAGGCTCTGGAAGCTGACTTCCACTGGCCGGGCAGCGAGGCCTGGTATGAGGGGAACCTCAGGACCATGCTGCATTGTGTGGACTTGTCGCGAGCTCTCGTGGACACCCGAGGCCCAGCCAGAAACAGCCTCATGCAGCTGAAAGTGACAGCACTAACCAGCGCCCGGCTTTGTGTAAGTGACAAGTGACATGGGGGTGAGGACACACGTGTGGTCGCCCACCAGGTTACCCCCAACACTCCAGCCACCGCTCCATTTCAGAAGGAGCTATCAGCTCGGATCCAAAGGCCAGCAGGCTCTTCGGAGCTGAACCCCGAGAGGCTGGCAGAAGCCATGGACTCAGGCCAGGTAGGGAATAGAGGTTGTGTCATTGAGGATATGACTGACATGGATAAATATGGATCACGTGGGGTCCTAGGGGCGGGGCCTGGGTGAGGAGCTTTCCAAAGGAGGGGTCAGGGTGGCGACAGCACTTTCTCCACGGAAGACAGGACATGAGCCTTTGGTCGGTGGCTGAGCATGGCCCGCGTGCCTGTAATCCCAGCACTTGGGAAGCTGAGGCAGGAGAATCAAGTCGCTGAGGTCATCCTGGGCTACACAGTGAGACTTGTCTGGAAAACACAGTGTGGCTTTAAAGGTGGCTCAGCAGTTAAGGACACTTGTTGCTCTTGCAGAGGACCCAGGTTTTCAGCACACACACTGGATCACAGCCACACGTAACTACTTGCAAGCCTCTGTCCCGCCTGCAGTGGGCACCAGACATACCTGTAATGTGCATACAAGCATACAGGCAAAACACCCAAGCACATCACTTAAAAAGAACTATACATTTACTTTTGGTGGTGGTAGTTTTGCTTGTAAGACAGGGTCTTATGTGTCCCAGGTTGGTCTTGAACTCTCTGTATAGCCAAGGATGACTTTGAACTCCTGATCTTCCTGCCTCCACCTCCCAAATTGCTAAAGATATAGGCATGTGCCATTGTTTAAAAATTAAATTTATTTTTTAGTCAGTGAGCAGCTACACTGGTGTATGCTTGCTGCATATAAACTGATGAGACCCATGAGATTTTTCCTTTTGTCTTGTTTTGTTTTTTGAAGCAGGATCTTAGTATGTAACCCACTGGCCTGGAACTTGCATCCCTCCTTCTCAGCCTCTCCGGTCCTGAAATTACTGGTGCCATCATGTCTGACACTGATGAGGTTCTTGCTTTATTCATTCATTTCTTAATAATATTCCAATATCCTATTCCTATGTGTGCACCTGCAGATAAGTAAGTGTGTGTGTGTGTGTGTGTGTGTGTGTGTGTGCACATGGTCAGAGGCTGGAAACAGGTATTTTTCCTCTATCACTATACATCTTTTTGTTTTGTTTTGTTTTGTTTTTGAGACAGGGTCTCTCTACATAGCCCTGGCTGTCCTAGAATAGGTATGTACCACCACACCTGGCTTTCCTGTTTATTTTTTTAATAGGTGGTCTCTCACGGAGCTCACTGTGACGGCTACCGTGGCTGGCAGGGGGCACCCAGGATCCCCGTATCTCCATCCCTGAAACCGCATTAAGGTTACAGATGGGCCGTTTCACCTAGGTTTTTATGTGGGTGCTGGGAACCGGAACTCAGATCCTCACACCTGTCCAGCAAGAAGTTTACCCACTGAACAATCTCCCTGGCTCCTGTTGGGATTTTTTTTCTTTTATCTTTTTGAGCAGCTATGGCTCTGAATATTTTGTATTTGTTCTTTTCTCATGCATCCCAATCACAGTTTCCCCTCCCTATCCTCCCAGCTGCTCCACCCCCCACTCCCTCCCCCCTCCACTCCTTCTCCATTTCCCTTCTGAGAGGAGCAAGCCTTCCAGGGATATCAACCAAACACACCATAACAACTTACATAAGCCTGGGCACAAACCCTCAGATCAAGGCTGGACAAGGCAACCCAGTAGGAGGAAAAGGGTCCCAAGAGCAGGCAACAGGGCCAGAGTCAGACTCCCCTCACTCCTACTGCTAGGAGCCCTGTTGAGATTTTTGGCATGACAAATGCATACTGTTTTGGGGGGGATGTTTTCCTAACTTATTCCTTGAGATAGGATCTCACTATGTAGCTCAGCCAGCTCTGAGACACACAATCCTTCCACCTCAGCTTTTCCAGTGCTGGGATTATAGGCATTTGTCATTATACCAGGCTTCTTCTTTATTGGACTATGTGCTTGAAAATTTTCCAAAATAAAATGTTAAGAAGCAAGTCACAGCTGTGCGCAATGAAGAAGATATCAAGTATAAGGCCACCCAGAGCTACACAGTGATACCCTGCCTCAGACAGACAGACAGATAACAGGAGCTACAGATGGAGCTTGGGAGTAGAATTTTACTAGAATCCCCTAGCGAGGGGCTCAGGTGTGGCTCAGTGGTAGAGCCCCTGGCTAAAATCCCCCAGTGAGGGGCTGGGATGTAGATGAGTAATAGAGAAAGCGTGCCTAGTATTCACAAGGTCCTAGATTTATCCTCAGCACTGCAGGGAAAACATTTAAAAAGTGAAAAGTTCGTTGTGTGGTGATCACCCACACACTTGCCACCACGAGTCATATACCAAAATACAAGGATCCTCAAGTCCAACGCTCAAAACATCATGGTATTTGCCTATAACTTTGGGTACCCCCTGTGCACTTAAATCCTCTCTGGGAGACTTGTAGTACCAAATGCAGCATAAAAACTATGTAAACAGTCGCTCTACAGCATCAGTAAGGATGTGTCCAAGTGTCTTTTCCCGGCTCGTAATAAGATGCTCTGACAAAAGCAACCCAAGGGAGAGCTTATTTGGACTTCATAAGGTGAGGTGCAGTCCATCATTAGAGGAAATCAGGGCGGCGGGGCAGCAGGAGGGTGAAGCAGTTGGTCCTGCGGCATCTAGGACCAGAAAGTAGAGATCCACAGTGCTAGCTTCCTGCTGCTCAGCTCCTTTTCTCTATTGTACAATCCAGGGTCCCCACCAGGGAAAGTTGCCACCTCGGAAGGTGACTCTCCCCACCTCAACACAAGATAATCCTCCACAGGCATGCCCAGAGCCCTGGTCTCCCAGATGACTCTAGATTCCGTCAAGCTGATGGTGCTCACCATCTCAGGGAACAGTGACAGCAATGACTGTCCATGCTCAGTGCAGATGCGGGGTTCTTCATTTTAAATTGTTTTATTTATTTACATTTAATTACCTTTTTAGTGTATGCACCACATGTGTGCAATGCCCTCAGAGGCCTTAAAAGGGTGGCAGATCTCCAGAAGCTAGAGTTACTTGCCATTGCCAGCCTCCTGCCATGAGTGCTGGGAACTGAATTCCAGTAAAGCAGGACAGGTTTTCTACAGCTCTGCAATGCTTTTCTGAATATGTTTGACCAGCCATGGGCTAAACCATGGAAACAGAGCCTATAGTCAGGGAGGGCCAACAGGACCTGATGGTCTGACCCATCCACCCATGAACCCATCTTACTTTGTGATGCGTTTCCATGGTTGACATTAGTTCACTCCTGCATCAAGTGTTTCAGGCTGTGAAGTGCTTGGGTTAGAGTTTCTTAATCACTGAAACTAGTTTTGCCTTTTTTAAGTTAAAAAATTGTTGTGTTGAATGAAAACTACAAATGAAAGCAGGTTTGGTTATGAACACCTATAAACCCACCACTTGGGAAGCAGAGGGAGGAGGAGTAGAAGTTGGAAGTCATCCTTGGCTACACAGTAAGTTCTGGGTGAGCCTAGGACACATGAGATCCTGGGTGGGGGGGGTTGGGGTTAAAGATACCCCTTGATGAAGTCCAGGAAATACACACAGTAGGACCACACAAATCTCCTTCCATACCCAGAGACTGCCCATCACTGCCCTCCCATCAGTCTGAGGGTGAGTTTTGGTTTTGTTTGATCTTTTCTTTCCTTTTTTTACTTTAGGTTGGGTCTCATACAGCCCAGGCTGGTCTCTCAGTCACTTTGTAGCCCAGGATAGCCTTTAACTCCATCTTCATGCCAGTTTTATGAGGTGGCTTTATTTCTCAACCCTGGCTTTCTCTCCCTCCTCCCTCTCTCCTATTGCCCTTTAAAACCCCACTACATTGATGCATATATGTGTTTGTTGGGTGTGGGTGTGTGCGCATGACACAGCACGGGGCTGGAGGTCAGAGGGCAACTGCCAGGAGTCGGTTGTCCCCTTCCACCACATGGGTCCTGAGACTTGAATTCAGTGTCTTCAGCCACTGAATCGTCCCACGGGCTCTCTTCCGTTCTCACTGGATAGATTAGCCCAGGCTGCCTCAGCCTCCCAAATTGCAAGATTACAGGCATGTGTGGCCACACCCTGGGAGTCACTCACTTTTCAGATTTTACACACACACACACACACACACACACACACACACACACACGCACGCACGCACGCACGCACGCACACACGCACACTGGTGGGAGTGAAGACTCAGGTCCTGGAGGAGCCAGCAGTCCTGAGCGGTCTCCCATTCCCATCCCCTGGCGTCCCTCAGAACCTCCAGCTCTCCTGCCTCAGCACCGATCAGAATCAGCATCTGCAGGCCTCTCTCAGCCGCTTGCACCGCGTGGCCCAGGTAACACCCAAGTGGGTGGACTGGCTCCCCACCCCCTCACACTGCTGGCCCTGACATCTTTCTCTCCCCCCTCAGCATGCCCGGGCCCAGCACGTGAGGCTCCTGGTGGATGCTGAGTACACGTTCATCAATCCTGCCCTCTCCCTGCTCGTGGATGCCCTGGCCCTGCGCTGGAACAGACCCGAGGAAGGCGGGCCCTGGGTGTGGAACACTTACCAGGCCTATCTGAAGGTGGGTGGTGTGGGATGCTCTAAATGCAGGGGTGGGGGGGATGCAGCAGCACCCTGATCCTCCTGAGTCTGCCTGTGTGCCCTGCAGGAAACTCAGAAACGGCTGGAGCGGGATGCTGAGGCCGCACACAAGGCTGGCCTGGCGTTTGGGGTGAAGTTGGTACGAGGTGCCTATCTGGACAAGGAGAGAGCCATGACACAGCTCCAAGGGAAGGAAGACTGCACTCAGCCTGACTATGAGGCCACTAGCCGAAGGTAGGGACTGAGAGGCTATAGGAGAAATAATAGATAGCATTAATATGTCGCCAGGGTAGGGAGGCAGCTCAGTGACTGGCTCGGTTAGGGTTCCTCTTGCTGTGAAGGGACACCATGGCCGCAGCAACTCTTAGAAAGGAAAACATTTAACTGGGACTGGCTTACAGTTCAGAGGTTCAGTCGGCTATCATCATGGAGGGACACGGTGGCGTGCAGGAAGACGTAGCTCTGGAGACGCAGCTGCTGCAGGCAACAGGAAGTAGAGTGACTCGCTGGGCGTGGCTTGAGCATATATATATATATATATATGTATATATATATATATATGAGACTTCAAAGCCCGCCTCCACAGTGACGAACTTCCTCCACCAAGACCACACCTTCCATTAATGCCACGCCCTTCGGGGGCCTTTTTTTTTTTTTTTTTTTTTAAATCACCACGATGAGTACAGTGCTTGCTGCACCAGGACGGAGTATCATGGTACACACCCACGGCTCCAGCACTCTGTCGTGGAGACAAGCAGATGAGATAGACTCACTGGGAGTCAATGCAGTTGAAACACTGATCTCGAGGTTCAGTGAGGGGCCCTGACTCCAACAGTAAGGTACACAGAGCTGGAGGAAGATACCCAACGTTGACCTCTGCGTTCTACCTGCGTATGCATAGGGAGCACATATGTACATGCAGGAGTACACACACGCACACGCGCACACGCATGCATGCACGCATGCACACGCACACGCACGAAGCTGTGGGTCGTGGCTTGTTACTGCAATGCCAGTGCATAAAGCGCTTCTCTCACAAACTCAGTGACTCAGACCCCTCAGACCCTGCCTGTCATCCTAGACTTGAGAGGCAGAGGCAGGGGATGGGGTGGGAAGGATAACAAGCTGCTATCTAGAGTAGCCGGAACTGATGAGTTTGGGTTCAGTGAGAGGTCTTGTCTTAGTAAGTAAAGTGGAGATCCATCAACAAAGACACCCAATGTCAACCTAGGGCCACAACCCACACATGTACACACATGTGCACATGAACACACACACTCAAATTTAAATAATAGCATTTAATTCTTCTTTTGGAGAAAAGCAGATTGCCTAAGCCTGACAGTCCCTCTGCCTCTGAGCCACGCCCCCAACCCCTGACTGGGGGATTCTAGGCAGGTGCTCTGCCACTGAACTATATGCACTGTCCTCTTTTTACTTTTGGTTTTGAAACAGACTAAGTTTCCAGGGTGACCTTGAACTTCACTCTGTAACACAGGCAGGGTTTGAACTTGCAGGCCTCCTGCCTCATCATCCAGAGTAGCTGGAATGACAGACCTGCACCACCAGACCTGCACAATGTAATCTTCCACTTGCTCACCACCTGCCATGGGACTCTGTGCCAAACATCTTGTGTGTGTCCATGTCACTTGCTCTCCAGGGTTCGGGACACTGTTGCCTCCGATCAGAACAGCAGCACCCTCCTTCCTCTTCCCCCACCCCCACCCCCAGTTTACCGTTCCTGTGGTTATTTCCCCTTTTTGTGGACACCTGTATTGCTACTAATCATGTTCCGTAGGTGTGTTGATTACTCTTCTGGATGCTTGACAAAATCCCTGGCAAAAGCAGCTTCAGGAATGAAGGGCTTGTTTCGACTCCTGCGTGAGGGGCCAGAGTTCACAGTATCAGAGTGTTTGACAACAGGAGGTGGCTGGCCACATTGCGCCCACAGCCAGGGGCAGAGAGAACTGGGTGCCAGTTCTCAGCCCATCACACCACCCCCTCTAAGTTTGTCTGGTTTGGTTTTCAAGACAGGGTTTCCCTGTGTAGCCCTGGCTGTCCTGGAACTCGCTCTGTAGACCAGGCTGGCCTCGAACTCAGACCTTTCTGTCTCTGCCTCTCAAGTGCTGGGATTAAAGGCGTGTGCCACCATGCCTGGCTTTTACTTTCTCGTTTTTTTTTTTTTTTTTTTTTTTTCCAGCCTGGGACCACAACACATAAAATATGGCACCTGCATTAGGTGTGTGTTGCCGAGGCAGAGAGGGCCTTTCTTCCTCAGTTAAACTTCCGTGGCAATGACATCACAGGCATGCCAAGGATGTCCTCTTATACATAATCCACATCATGTTATCTTGAAACATTTTTTTTTTGTCATCTTGAAAATTAAGACAACCTACCACACTGCCAGTGAGATGACTCTGCAGGTAAAGGTGCTCGCCACCAAGCCTCATGGCCTGAGTTCCATCCCCGAGACCTCTGTGGTAGGAGAGAACATGTGGCAAGATCTCTACGCCTACGCTCTAGAACACACACACACACACACACACTGAATAAAATTTTGTAATTAAAAAAAAAATGCATCCACGCTGCAGTGCCTAACCCTGGACAAATGCCGGCTTGAGCACGGACATGGTTTCGCTGTGAGAGAATCATCAGGTCAGAAGCCATTCACTCTGGCTTTTAGAAGCACATGCTTGCCATCCTTGCCCATGAGAGGCTGAGGCAGGAGGACTGTGAATTCTACATGGGCTACATCGTGAGACTATGTCAGAACCAACCATGACCCTGATTTTCACCCACCTCCATCCTGACTACTGTTAAGGGATCTCACCCGGTTACAAGAGAGGGAAATGGCTCTGAGGAGCCCGTGCCTGAAGGACGAAGGAGGGCAGGAGTCCCGTCTCAGAGGAGCTGAGCAGAGCCTCTCCCTTCAGTTACAGCCGCTGCCTGGAGCTGATGCTGCGCCGTGTGTCCCTTCATGGCCCCCTGTGCCACCTCATGGTGGCTTCCCACAATGAAGACTCCGTTCACCAGGCAACTAAGCGGTATGAGGTTGAGGGATGGGAACCCAGTGTCCCATCCCTTTCTGGGGACAGTGACGGGAATGGGGTGGTGGGTGGGGGACAGTGAAGAAGAGGGGGGGTATTAAAAGTGTTGAATTCCAATCTGGCATGATGATACACACCTGTTGTCCTCAGAAGACTGAGGCAGGAGGATCAAGAACTGATGCCAACCCGAGTTACATAGTAAGAATCTTAAAAAAACAAAACAAAACAAAAACAAAAACAATGTCTATGTATGTATGTCTATGTATGAGCTATAGGCTCAGAAGTGATGTCATTGTCCCTTATTACTGAGACTGAGGGAGGACTAAAGACTCCCGGGAGCTGCTGAGGCTCAATGGGTAGAAGTCTTAAGAGAGATCATGAGAATTGTTATTTATTGATGGGTTTGATTTGATTTTCACATGTGTGTGTTTATGTATGCACCCGTGAATACAAGTACCAGGGGAGACCAGAAGAGGATGTCAGACTCCCTGGAACTAGAATTACAGGCAGTTTTTTTTAGCTGCTATGTAGGTGCTGTGAGTCTAACGCAGGTCCTCTGGAAGAGCAGTCGGTGCTTTTAACCACTGAGTCATCTCTCCAGCCCTACAGTGGTTATTTACCATTGAATTTGGGGATAGTCATTCCTCAAGATCTGTGGAAAATGTGTTCTAGGACCAATCTCCACGGAAACCAAAATCTTCAGATGCTCAAATCTCTCCTATCGGATGATGTACTATTTGAATATTTGCATATGACCCATGAATATCCTCCTCCATGCTGGAAGTCATCAAGTTTATTTATGACACCTAGAATAATGAATGTAAACATACATGAATAGTTATACTGTTAAGAACAATATAAGGGAAACCTATGCAGGTGTTTGACACGGACCTGATCTACCCTCATATTTGATCCCTGGTCGAATCCGTGGCTGTGGAACTGTGGATCCAGCTGGCCAACTGCTCTCTCCCCATATTTGAATGCTGGGGTGGGCTGACTTGCTCTCTAGATCTAGCCATTGCTTGTCTGCATTGATAATGTGACCCCTTCTGCAGCATGTGGGAGCTGGGCATTCCTCCGGATGGGCCCGTCTGTTTTGGACAACTTCTAGGCATGTGTGACCATGTCTCCCTGGCACTAGGTATGTGAACGGCCCATCCCCCCACCCCCCACCCCACCCTCTCATTTCCTCTCACCCAGATCCCTCCTGTTGTTTGCAACCATTATCTGACTCCACTCTCAAGCAGAACCTGCAGCTGGTTCACCCTCTGGTTCCTTCCAGACATCTTGGGAGCCCTTGAAGGGCTGTGCCCTGTGGCTTCTTTCCTGGCCTGTGCTGGTTCTTGCTTATGGTGGCATATTTCCTGTTCGGTGTCCCGACTGCTGCTCCATAAGGCCTTAGACCAGATTCCTTTCCTTCTGTGGGATACTGAGGGTAACAGAGGCACTTTACTATTGGAAAGATGGCTCAGTGGGTAAAGCACCTAACATGCAAGCCTGAAGACCTGAGTTCAAATCCCCAGAACCCATGCCAACGCCAGACAGTAGTGCAAATGTCTGTCATTCTAGAGTGTTTGTAGACATGGGAGGCAGAAGCGGGAGGCTCCCCAGAAGTGTGCAGCATCTAGTCTAGTTTTATGCAGTGCAGAGAGGCCTTTCTCACGGAAGATTTAAAAAAAAGAGGAACGATCTCCACAGGTTGTTCTCTGACACATGCATGCTCACACACACACACACATGAATGAAAGCATGCATGTATGCACACACACATACTCTAAAACATACAGACTTTGTTCTTGATCCACACTTCCAGTGTTTCTTGATACTTGTTTACTTGTTTTTGCTTTTGAGACAGGATCTTGTTATGCAGCCCTTGTAGACCAGGCTAGCCTCAAACTCACAGAAACCCTCTGCCTCCTCTGCCTCTGCCTCCTGGGGGGGCTGACACTAAAGGCAAGCCTCACCACATCTGGCCTGAGGCTTCTTTTCATACCTTGATATAAATTTAGGCTGCCAGTGTGTGATCAGGCTAGTCCATGACCACCGAGCAGTGATGGCTGTTTCTGGCCTAATACAGTCTCTAGCAGTGTTGAGAGGTGGGAGGTGACCCTCACTGACTCTCCCTCAGAAGGTAGAGTTTTCCTGACTTCTAGCTCAATGTGGGACAGGGTCCTTATAGCACTCAGCCCAGTCAGGCGCCTACGTAATCACGTAACATGCTAGGTTGTCCAACATTAATTGGGTTTTACCTTCAGGGAAGGAATGGCAGCTTCCTGAATCTCAGCCCTCTCTAAGCTTTTACTTTCTTAATTCTTGAATTGGTGAGCTTCTTGCTCTCTTAACAATATCTTAATAAACAGATATTTTTTTCCACATGTGGTGGTGCAAGCCTACAATTCCAGCCAGCACTCAGGAGGCTGAGGCAGAAGGATTTGGAGTGGAATTGAGCATGGACTACACAATAAAAGCCAATCTCTTAACAACCGATCAGAAGGAAAGGAAGAAGGGAGGGATGGATGGACAGAGGGAGAAGAGGACATTTATTTGTTTCTTTTAAATGTTTGCTGAGGAGTGTTTTCAGTGATGAATTATTACATGTCATACTCACCTAGTCTGCCATGTTCTGAGCAAGGGAAGTAGCATTTGGTGCTGATGCTCAGGAACATCTCTCTCTCTCTCTGTGTCTGTCTGTCTATCTCTGAGTCTACACTCTGCCAATACTTTCCCCAACAGGACAGGCTGGATATTTGGTATATAAGTCTATCCCGTATGGCTGCCTGGAGGAGGTGATCCCCTACCTGATTCGGAGAGCCCAGGAGAACCGGAGTGTGTTGCAGGGTGCCCGCAGGGAACAGGCATTACTCAGCCAAGAACTGTGGCGGAGGCTTCTGGGAAGGAAGGTCTGAGGGCTACTCCATCAGCACCATTAGGGGCCATGTGCGCAATAAAGGTCCCAAGACTCTGCCTCTGCCTCTACCTCTTTGAAGCTGCCTCCTTGGGGAAGGGCTGATCCTGGCCTCGGCCTACAGAGCTTGGATAGGTGGGGCATTTCTGAAACTCAAGAGATATTTAGTTCTGTGTGGTGGCATATGCCTGTCATCCCAGCACTTGGGAAGCTGGGTCAATAGGATCATGAGTTCCAAACCAGTGAGAGGAGGAAGAAGAGAGAGAGAGAGAGAAAGAGAGAGAGAGAGAGAGAGAGAGAGCATGCGTCCATGTATGTTTCAATGACCCAGGGTGATAATGACTTGAGGTCATGTATCTGTCAATGGACTTGGCCAGGGATCTATTCAAGAATTCTTCCCATCTCAGAGGATGTTCAATAAATAACACAGCTGAAGAGTAGACACTGAAGATTAGACAAAAGCCGGAGCCAAGGCCATGTGCTCAGGAGGGGTGGACCATGCCTTCAGTTAATAAGCATTGATGAGCAGGCTGGAGAAATGTCTTTGTCACTAAGATGTCTGGTGCACAAAAACATGAGGGCCTGAGTTCTATCTCCAGCACCCATATAAAGCTCCAAACACAGTGGAGTGGTACAGGCCAAGACAAGCAGATACTGGTTGAGCCACAGGTCCCAGTAAGGGATGCTGCCTCAAAACCAGAGTGGCACTAGGAAGCTGTCTTAGTTTGGGTTGTCTGTCGCTATGAAGGGACACCATGACCACTGCAATTCTCATAAATAAAACATGTCAGTGGGTGGCTCACTTACAGTTTCAGAGGTCCAGTTCATTATCACCATGGTGAGGAGCACGGTGGCATTCCGGCAGACCTGTGCTGAGGGTGCAGCGTCATCCAGGCAACAGGAAATCGACAGAGACAGTGAGTGGTACCCTGAGCACAGGAAGCCTCAAAGCCCACCCTCACAGTGACACACGTCCTCCAACAAGGCCGTACCCACTCCAACAAAGCCCCACCTCCTAATAGTGTCCCTCCTACGACATTATGAGGACCAATTGCTTTCAAACTACCAAAGAAGCACCGGCAGGAGTATGACAGGTTCAAGGCTAGCCTGGACTACATAGTGATGCTCTATCGCAAGAACAAAACAAGAGCTGAGGCTGAGGTTGGTGGAACACTTGCCAAGAGCCCCCGATGAGGGGCTGGGGCATGGAGCAATGGTAGAGCATGCGCTTAACATATACAGGAACTTGAATTCCGCCTCCAGCACTGTAAATAATAATTAAAGTTACAAAGATGGAAAGGAGCTGGGCAGGGATGGTTACATTTGTTTATGCTGTGCAACATTTGTTTAACGACGCCAAGATGTGTTGCATTCCTTTATGGTGCATTTGTTTAACTCTGTGAAGCTGTGTTACTTAACCTGTCTAAAACACCTGATTGGCCTAATAAAGAGCTAAGCGCCCAATAGCTAAACAGGATAAAGGAGAGGCAGGGCTATAGCACAAATTCTAACTGTTCTTAATAATAAAACCCCAGAGTCAGATGTTGGGGGTGGGGAATCTGAAAGATCAGAGAAGCAAAGCAGCCAGCTACTAAATCTTACCACCTCTACCTCAGACCAAAGGGGTGATCCCGTCTCCATGAATCCTCAGACTGACTGCCTCAGACCCACTGCCTAGACTGCCCTGAGCTCTTCCTGCCTTATATTTCTCTCCCCGCCCGGGCCATATCCTTTTCTGTCTCTGCCTCCTTAGTGCTGAGATTAAAGGCACGTGACTCCAAATGCTGGGATCACCTTTGTGTGAGCTCAGTTTCTCTTTTTGACTGGCTCGATTTCGTGTAGCCCAAGGTGGCCTTGTACTAACAGAGATCCCTCTGCCACTGTCTCCCGAGTGCCGGGATTAAAGGTGTGTGCCATCACTGCCTGGCCTCTATGGCTAATTAGTGTGGCTAGTTTTGCACTCTGATCTTCAAGTAAGCTCTATTTGTAAGATCACAAACAAAATATAACCACATGGGGCTGCCAGGCAGAGAGAATAAATAGAAGGAATAAAAGAGATGGTTGAGGAGGAGCAAGAGAAAAGAGGCCAGAAGAACATCAGTGGCCAGCCACCCAGCTACACGGCAAGCCGAGGAGTGAGAAGGATATACAGAACAGAGAAAGGGAGAAGCCCAGAGGCAAAGGCTAGACCGGATAATTTAAGAAAGGCTGGCTAGAAATAAGCCAACCTATGGCCAGGCATTCATAAAAAAAGAGTAAGTCTCCAGGAGCTGGTTGGTGAGCCCCAAGGAGTAAAGAGCAAAGTGTTAAGATTAAAATAAAACAAAAACAGAAAACTATGGTGGTGCTTTTAATCCCTGCCCTTGAGAACAGAGGCAGAGGCAGGAGGAGCTGTGAGGTACAGAGCAAGTTCCAGGACAGCCAGGGCGATACAGAGAAATCTTATCTGGAAAAAAAAAAAAAAAAAAAAAAAAAAAAGAAAGAAAAAAAAAAAAAAAAAAAGGAAAACCCACAGGGCAATGGTACAAATTAAGAATTGAGGACATGCCAGGCATTGGTGGCGAAAGCCTTTAATCCCAGCTCTTAGGAGGCAGAGGCAGGCAGATCCCATAAATTTGAGGCCAGCCTGGTCTACTGAGTGAGTTCCAGGACAGCCAAGGCTGTTACATAGAGAAACCCTATCTTGCAAAAACTAAAAAAGGAGAAGAAGGAGGAGGAGAAAGAACTGAGGGCATGGGGTATAGGGAGAGGAGACATGCCTCTGCTTCTCTGCCATGGGCAGGGTGAGCCAAAGGAAGGCAAAGATGCCAGGAAGCTATCTCTTGTTTCAAATGGTAGAAATGGGACCAAGCTTACTATGAACAAGTGAGGCCAAGTTCCTTGATGCAGCCATCTAAAACTGAACAGAGGCAGGCCAGACCACAGGAGACCAAACCGCTCACTCAACACAAACGGTGTCAGCTGTATTGACTTGTTGGCTGGGAGAGGGGGATGGGTTAGAGTTTGTTAACTGCTCATCAGGCACCGGTTTTGATGTGAAAGCTGTTCTTTGAGTCAGGGTCCCAGCATTTGGGAGGTGGAGGCAGTATGACTGGGAGTCAAGGTCATAGTCATTTACTTACTTATTGGTTTCTGGAGACAGGGTTTCTCTGTGCAGCCCTGGCTGTCCTGGAACTCACTTTGTAGACCAGGCTGGCCTCGAACTCATAGAGGGTCATACTGACTTTCAGGCTAGTTACTGCTTTAGGCCATCTCCCCTGCCCCCTTCTCATTTTTGCACACACGCAAACCTGGCTTGTACATAAGTAGGTTAATATAAGGTCACACTGCCCCTCCTTTCTTGTGAGTCAGCAGGTGGTGAATTAGGGTCCTTAAGAAACAAAGAGATAACTGTACCTCCGGTTTGCCCAGACAAGATTAATTAGCACACCCTGAGGCCCTAAGGTCTGTTGACCCTAATAGAGAAACCACCTGGCCTCAAATGGACAGAGGGTCCCACCCCCTCCTTAAGCTTATTGGGTTTGCTTTTAAAAACACCTGGGCCCGGGGGAAGGGGGCTTCTCTCTAGCCTGCACGCTGGAGGAGCCCGTTTGCGCAAACGTTTCCTGTTAAAGCCTCTTGCGTGTTGCAGCAACTGGACTGGACATTGGGTTCTTGGAGGTACCGGCCGAAACTGGGGGACTCCTCATTCTGAGGGTCTTACAGAGGGAGGTAGAAGAGGACACATTATGTTTAAAATTTGTCTTCTGTCTTCTTTCTGTGGTCCCTACCTGTTTCAGAGACTAGAGAAGCTGAGAAAGAGTGGGTTGGAATGGAAAGGAATGGGGCTTGGAATGGGCCATGGGGCAGGGATGGAGGGAGGTGAAAGGCTAAGGCCAGGTGGGCTTGATGGTCCAGGTGATGTCTGAAGGGAAGCATCCCGAAGGACCCTTTGGTTTGGGGCTCAGGGAAGAGACTGGAAATAGTTATGGGGTGGGTGTGCATGGAAGACAGTTGGGCATGAGGAACTGAGGTTAAGAGGGACCAAGAGGGTGTGGCTGGGAGCTGGAGAGATGCCTGAGCAGTTCAGAGCACTGGCTGCTTTTCCAGAGGTTCCGGTTTTGATTCATAACACCCACATGGTCCTGTAACCCCAGTTGTAGGGGATTCTATTCCCTCTTTTGGCAACCGGGACACTTACATACATACAGGCAAAATACTCATACACATATAGTTAAAATTACAAAAATGAGAGACACTGGAGCAGACAAGGGGGAATAAGAACCAGCTGGAATCTATTGAGCTGACTTCTCTGTCCTCCTTCCCGCTACAGGACGATGGATAGGCTACTGCGCAAGTGCAAGATGACAGGAAGCAGCAGGCAATCATGCGCTAGGATCCTCCACCTCCCACCCCCACCCCCAACCCCGGCGCAGGCTGCCATCGCAGTACCACAGTCACGTGACAATCACAATTACGCCCAACGGTAGGTACCAAGCCATCTGGGCTAGAGTTCAGGCCTAGAGCTATTTGGAGCTTTCAGGACCCTCAGCTTTTCGCCACATCCACTTCATCCCCATACTCCACCCTGACCCCAGTTCAGGTCCCCCAACACTTAGGCCGCATCTCTATTCTGGAAACTTAAGACCTCCCCAGCCCACAGACCCCACGAGCACCCTCCAGAGCCCCCCAGCTCTTCCGTAGTGCGGAGCCTTTCCCAGGCTCAGATTCTGCCGCAGCCCTTGGATTTCCTTGGCATGACCTCCCCCCCCCCCCGCCCTAAAACTCCCACTATCCCTTCTGACCCCGTGTGCTTCTGGTGTGCAACCCCCTAGCTGGGTCCCCCAGATACCTCCTTTCCCATCAGACCCTCCCGAATCCCCTTCTCAACTACACCGTTCCCCACTGTCAGCTAGCCTTCCGGTCGTTCACCTCTGCTGGGCCCTCAGGAGCCTTTCTAGCTGACCCCGTCCCAGGAAGCAAGCTGCAGATGCATTCCCAGGCCTCACGCTTCCCGGTGGAGCTGGGTTCCGTGAGGGATCCAAATGCCCAGGTGGGCCGTCTACATCGCCTAGCTCTGGCTGGTGGCCCATGCTGGGGCCTGGCCAGGCTCCTGCGCACAGGTAAGGTTCCACTGCTGGTGAGGTGTGGTCAAAGAAACAGCCAGCACCACGGAGAGACAACGTCAATTGATTAGTCCATACCTGGGGACCAGGGTCCTGTGTTGTCGCTGCTACCTGTTGTGTGAATCTGGCCTCTGGATCGTTGGGAATGAAACATGGTGGGAAGGGTTTCACTGAATGTGAAAGAGACTCTCACCGCGTAAGCTGTTCGGAAGGAAGCTGGGGAAGGTGTGATGGCCTGCGAGAAGGCCCTGAAGTCAAAGTGAACTGGGCATGTGTGTGGGCAGCCAGACTCAGGGAGAAGCTGGAGAGGTATTGGATCTAGGCAATAAAGAGAGCCTGAGAAAGTGTATTCTTTGATGTTGGGTCATAAGTGCCACAGTAGAGAGAGAAACTCATCAAGATGCTAAACTGAGCCGGCCGGTAGTGAGTGGCACATGCTTTTAATTAACCCAGCACTCTGGAGGCAAAGACAGGTGGATCTCTGTGAGTTCGAGGCCAGCATGGTCTACAGAGAGAGTTCCAGGACAGGCTCCAAAAAATAATATCTAGAAACCCTGTTTCGGAAAAGAAAAAAAAAAAAAAAGCTAAGCTGTCATTTTCCAAAGAAGGACAGGGGTTATAGCCTTCTCAGAAAAGACTGACCCCAGCTAGCTCACTTGTTACTTTATTCAAACATATACAAGGTTAATAGGGGCTGGGAAAGATTCCAACTACCCAAGTCATCTTGCCCTTGCTGCCTGTGAGGTCAGACAACCCACAGCATCTCAGTCTCTTGATTAATGGCTTAAGAACTCCAGGTCTGCCAGGAGTGGCTTAGGGCCCAGGTCAGTGCAGCTGCAACCTCTCACCAGAGAGACAACTCTTCAAGGTTTAAGCAGCCTCAGAGCAATTTCTCAGCTCTGCTGATTAACCCAAACACCGCAAAGGCTATGGTACACGTTTCTCTTGAAGCCAGACACAAAGGCTCCCCTTACGTATCACTGCAAAGACGGGTGCTGGTGCATTTTGTGATGTGTTTGATGGGAAGCCACTGTACCAGAAGAAGGGAATTCACAGCCAGATGCATTCAATAGTTTCCCAGTCTTCACTTTTGTAAGTTGATTGGGTATCTGAGCATTTTCTAAACTTAATAGCTGTGATTGGTTTGAAGATTTTTGTTTGTTGAAGAGGAAGAAAACCCCTGTCATTGTGCACATGTCATTCTAGTGTTCAGAAGGCTGAAGGTGACAATAAAAAGGATGAGGAGCCTGTCTCAAAAAATTTTTTTCCTTAAAGTATTGGACTAAACTCCCGAACTACTATTGCCATTTGGCACACTTTATTTTTCATATTTAGAGAATTAAATTTGTTTTTGTACCAAGTATCATGCTTGTTGGGGTTTATAATTATAATAATAATTAGTAATTGCTATCAGCCAATAGTGGCACACACCTTTAGTTCCAGCATTGAGGAGACAGGCAGGCTGATCTCTGTGAGTTCAAAACCAGCCTGGTTTACAGAGCGACTTCCAGGACAAGCTCCAAAGCTACAGAGAAACCCTGTCTCAAAAAACCAAAACAAAAAGTTATTAATTCCCATTTAAGTTTCCTGAGTTTTTCCCTCCGTAATTATACACAGGTAATACATTTCATAAACTTCACTTTTTCATTTGTTTGTTGGTTTGTTTGTTTTTTAAGACAGGGTTCCTCTGTGTATCCCTGACTGTTCTGTAACTCACTCTGTAGTAGGGGTTTCCTTGAACTCACAGAGATCTGCCTGCTTCTGCCTCCAAGTGCTAGCATTAAAAGTGTGCGCCACCAACAATTTCACTTTCCATATCTACAAGTTAAAATGTGATGTTTCTTCTTCCCACTGGTGCTAGGAATACAATCCAGTGACTAATTCATGCCAAGCAAGCGCACTACCACTGAGCCACACCCCCAGCCCCTCACTGGGGGATTCTAGGCAGGGGCTCCACCACTGAGCCACACCCCAGCCCCTCACTGGGGGATCCTAGGCAGGGGCTCTACCACTGAGCCACACCCCAGCCCCTCACTGGGGGATTCTAGGCAGGGGCTCTACCACTGAGCCACGCCCCAACCCCTCACTGGGGGATCCTAGGCAGGGGCTCTACCACTGAGCCACACCCCCAGCCCCTCACTGGGGGATCCTAGGCAGGGGCTCTACCACCGAGCCACACCCCAGCCCCTCACTGGGGGATTCTAGGCAGGGGCTCTACCACCGAGCCACACCCCAGCCCCTCACTGGGGGATTCTAGGCAGGGGCTCTACCACTGAGCCACACCCCCAGCCCCTCACTGGGGGATTCTAGGCAGGGGCTCCACCACTGAGCCACACCCCAGCCCCTCACTGGGGGATTCTAGGCAGGGGCTCTACCACTGAGCCACACCCCCAGCCCCTCACTGGGGGATCCTAGGCAGGGGCTCTACCACTGAGCCACACCCCCAGCCCCTCACTGGGGGATCCTAGGCAGGGGCTCTACCACTGAGCCACACCCCCAGCCCCTCACTGGGGGATTCTAGGCAGGGGCTCTACCACTGAGCCACGCCCCAACCCCTCACTGGGGGATCCTAGGCAGGGGCTCTACCACTGAGCCACACCCCCAGCCCCTCACTGGGGGATCCTAGGCAGGGGCTCTACCACCGAGCCACACCCCAGCCCCTCACTGGGGGATTCTAGGCAGGGGCTCTACCACCGAGCCACACCCCAGCCCCTCACTGGGGGATTCTAGGCAGGGGCTCTACCACTGAGTCACACCCCAGCCCCTCACAGGGGGATTCTAGGCAGGGGCTCTACCACTGAGCCACACCCCAGCCCCTCACTGGGGGATTCTAGGCAGGGGCTCTACCACTGAGCTGCACCTTCAGTCCAGAACATATACAGTCTGTCCTTTAATCCACGAAGGCCTATTTCACTGATGGATTTTCTTACATGGAAGCACACTTGCTTTCTGGGGATAATTTGGGGTTACTTAGGTTTTTGCTTGTGTGATCATAAATGGAATCTATTTAGCGTTTTACTTCCTAGTTCTGGAAACTGTCATCCAGTTTTGGAATTAAAGCCAGGCTGGGCTCATAAAACAAGCCTTGCCCTCTTCGGGTATTCTTGTTTTGGAATAACTTGTTTGGGATGATCTAGTCCTGGCAACGATTTGTGTTTCAGGAGGATGACTTTGGGGCACAGGTTGAGAGTGGGAAACTAAGGTGTCATTGCAGAATGGATAGGCTGTGAGTGAAATGTAAGGCAGAAAATGTGTTCAGAGCCTGATTCGACACCTCTGGTGTGGGGAGGATGGATATTTTCATGGCGGACAGATGTGCCCCTTGTTCTAGCTCTGTGGAGTTACTTCTAGCTCCCTGCATTGAGGTGGCAGTTCCAGGACACAAATGGAATCAGGGACCAAGGCATTGTTATGATAATAGGCATGAGGAACCTTGGCAGATTCCATGGCTGGTGAGGTTGACTGAGGCAGGGAAAAATGTGCCCGGCAGACAGAGCTGAAGTGAGGTTTATTAGAAAGGGGAAGGAAAGAGAAAAGAGGTAAAGAGATGCAGAGACAGAGGACAGTAGAGAGGAGGGAGACAGGAAAAGTCCTGTCTGCCCCAGGGGGACAGCAGGATAGCGAGAGGGAAAGAGCCTAAGTGGGCGGGACCTGTCTTTTAAAGGGTCCTTTGCACCTGCCTGCAGACTATGAAACCATGGAACCCTGGGCTGGCCAGGGAGCTGCCTGAGTGCATTCTGCCAGGTGAGCTGGCAGCCAAGTGTGCTGCCATCGAGGCCGGGGCTAGGACACCACCAGAGGCCAGCGGGGGATGGATGGAGCAAGGGGCGGAACACACACCAAGTCAAAGAGAAACAGTGGAGGCTGGCATGGCCCGGAGCCTTGGCTGAGGTGCTAAGGATGTAGCTCGGTGGATAGAGTGCTTGTTCGCAGTGCCCTGAGTTGGATCCTGGCTCACAGACAGGAGGAGCAGAAGTTCATGGTCACCCTTGGCTAGCCTGAAATACACGAGATGTGTGCTGCCTGGTGGCCGGAGGCTCCCAGGAATCGGGAGTGAGACTCCGCTGTCTCTCAGTTGTCCAGGTAGATGTTGAGAACTCTGCTGGGCAGACGGGACTCTTCCTGTCTGCGCTTCTGGGCCATGCTTCTACGGTGCGCCTCCTGCTGGCCTTTGGCGCCAACCCCAACCAGTGAGTAGACAGGTCCCAGTATCCCTACGCTCTGGGTGCACAAATCCCCTTCCAGCACCTGGTGCCTTCCCTGGCCCCTGGGTTAACCTCTTCTCGCCCCCCCCCCCCAGTGACTATCCTCATTCTGGTGCCTTCCAGAGCTCACAAAGATCCCCTCGGGCCTCCCACACTGACCCCCTTGGCTTCTCCAATAACCCACTTCCCAGGACTCCTCCCATCCGCTCAGCCCCCAGGCAGCTAGCTCCCTTTTGTGCTGCCTCCCCACCCCCCTCCCCCCGCCTTTCTTCATCCATCTCGCCCTTGCCTCTGGTTCTGTCCTAGCCGCTGCCTGGATGGCAGCACCCCTATGCATGCAGGTGCCTTCTCTGGCCGAGGGTTGGTGCTGTGGCACCTGCTGCAGGCAGGAGGTGATCTGCGCCTGCGTGACCAGCAGGGTCGCACACCTCGAGACTGGGCTGAGCAGGGTGATGCCAAGCAGAGCTGGGAGGTGAGTAATGGCCAGGGGTCCTGCGGGCTCATCAAGGCCGGCGGGGGCTCTCAGCCTAACCCTGTGCCCCCACACAGGTGCTGGAGCTGTTGCAGTGGTGTGGCACCCACATGTCAGCACTGGTGCAGAGTGGGGAGCTGGCCCCCACTGTGTCCCTGAGTCAGTTGCGAGCTAGCTCTGGACACAGCCTGTGTGGCTCCCTGAACCCACTATGGCTGGCACAGGCAGACAGGTAACAGTCCACACCCATGAGCCGCCAGGGCCAGCACACCCAGTGACCCTGTACTTACCCTCAGCCTGCCCTTTATCCCAGGGCACTGAGGCAAGGGCAGATCAGGAGATCCCCCCAAACCCCAGCCTTGGGGTTCGGCCAGGTAAGGAGGAGAGGATGGGCGAGCAGGGGCCGCGGGATCCTCTTGGTGCCAAAGGCCCTGCTCTCCTCCCTCAGCTGAACAGCCTGCAGCCACCGACACTGGTAATGGGCATCCCACTGGCAGACCCCAAGGAGCTGGTACCAACCCTGGGGGACCCTGACCGCAGCTACGAGAGCAGTTCTCACACCCTCATGGCCAAGTGAGAGCCCCTCCCATGGCCTCAGTGAGCCCCCCCCCCCCCCCGCCACCTGCTTCCCTCACACGGAACTCCCACCTGCTGCCCACTCCCCAGCCTCCTGTGGAAGGGCCACCCCGTGACTGTGCGGCAGCTGAAGACCCCCGAAACCCACCCTGATGTGCTACTGGCCGACCTTCAGCACTGCAGGTTACCATTCCCAGCTGACCGCTGACCCCAGCAGTCCGTAACCAAGAGGATGGGTACTAGCCATAGTTGTAGTAAAGCTTTGGCTCGGAGCTAGCATCCATCCAGTACAGCTGTAATGGCACCTCCCCCCCCCCACGCCCCCAGATTAGTTCCCGGAGAGGAGGCAGAAGGGATGGGAGGGGCCGGAGGCTGGTATGGGCTAGGGCTGGCTCTGCCACTGCTAGGCTGAGATGGAGGGTCTCAGTGTCTCCTGCATGGTGGCCGGCGGGAGTCTTCCCCTGGCCCCTGGTGGATGATCTGTGGTCAGGACTCGCCTTGCGCAGTTGGGGCGGATTGCGAAGGAAGGACCTGCTCTGCTCCCTCCCAGCACCCTGCACCACCCTGGCCTGCTGCTGCTGATGGCACTGAGCCCCTCGGAGGACCTGTCCAGACTGAGCCTGCTCTTTGAGCCAGTGTGCCTGGGATCCCTTTACATCCTGCTGCATTCAGCAAGACTGGATGAGGAGGGTCCCCAAGCGCTGCCGGGCCTCCTGCCTGGCTCTCTGCTGCTGCAGGTGGTCGAGGCCCTGTTGTTCCTGCAGTCCCGCTACTGGGCCCACGGGGGTCTCAGTTCCCACGCTGTGCAGCTAGTGCGGCCAGGCCTGGCTAAGGTGAGCCACCTAGAACACGGGCGTCCACTGCACCAGCCCAGGCTGCAGCCCAGGTGAGAGCCTGCCACCGTGTTTGCCCTGTGTCCTTCCCAGCAGCCACTAGCTCACTAGACCTTGACTCCCCCAGGCTGCAACAGGAATACCCCCATGGAGACCCAAGGCCAGGGCTTCCCCCACCCCCTGAGCTGTACCCATGGCTACCACTTGAGCTGATCCGTGGTGACATGCCAGCCACTACCTCAGACCTCTACAGCTTCTGCATCCTGGCCCAGGAAGTCTTCACTGGTCAGTGACCCACCCTACACTTACACCCCACCCCGGTGACATCGCACTAGTCTGGGTCTCCTCATGGTGTCTCTTCACAGGACAGCTGCCGTGGGCTGGGGGAGAGGGGCCTGAGGTGAAGGCTAAGCTGGAAGCAGGCGAGAGCCCAGCCTTGCACCCCTTGCTGCCAGCCCCCTATCAGGCCTTGGTTCAAGCTGGGCTGGGCCTAGAGCCTGCTGACCGCTGGGGCAGCCTGCAGAGCACTCGGTACCTATTGCGAAAGGCCATGGCCAAGGTACAGAAAGGTCAGAGTGGCCTGGGTACTTAGACCCCCAGGGAGGTCCCATATCACCCCATCTCACCTCCTTCCCACAGGACTCAGCAGCCAAGGTCAGCTCCCCAGTAGAGTGGACAACACTGTCTCCTGCCACCCTGGGTTCCCTGCCAGGTTAGGGGGTACAGAAGATGCTGGGGTGTTCTGGACACTGTGGAGGTGTACCTCAGATTCCAGCCATCTGCTCTGTACCCCCCCCCCCCCAGAGCATCTGTACCGTGAAGTGGCTCCCAAGGCCAGATCAAGGCCTGTGCTACCTTTCCCAGACCCTTCCCAGGTAGGAAGCAGGGGAACTGATCAGTAACCAAAGGAGGTGTGGGGACCCGGACAACTCTGCCAGTTCCTTGCCGTTGTTTTCTGCAGGCCCTGGAGAGTCCTGACATCACAGGCCACAGCAGTGTCCCGCAGAGTGCAGCCTGGGACTCGGGCAGTAGCTTGACTCTAGGCAGCAGCCTCAGTCCCAGCTCCAGTCTTCATGTAGACCCCAGCCCCAGCCCGCTCTGTTGCCCAGAGCCCATCTCCACAGTACGGATACCCCCAGCCCACTGCTAACCTGCTACCCCTGCCTCCAGAAGTCTCCCGGCTCCCTCTGACCTAGGATTCCCTGAGCAGCCCTGCTTCCCCCACATGAGCCCTGCACAGGAGCCTTCAGGAGCCAGCCTCCCTGCTGGGGACCCAGAGCTCTGAGGAGCAGTGTGAGAAGAGGTTCTGTCAGGACCCAAGCTCCTCAGCCCTGGGAGTCCACCCCTGCATGCCGACCAACAAAGAGGCTTCCATGCCCAGAGAGCTGCTGCCAGGGAAGGCCATGATTAGAGCACCCACAGCCCCAGGCTCTGAGCCTCGGTGGCAGCTGGACCTTTCCTCCTGCAGAGACCCGATAGTGAGGAGAGGGAGCTGACGGAAGACAGTCTCTTCTGCAGTCTACAGGAGTGAGATACACAGGCTGTGGGGGGGTGGGGGGCCCCGGGGTCCCCCCCTCGCCCTGAGCTAAGCCCGGTCTCTGTGCCTTACTGCCGGCAGGATGGATCTGTTGGAGGAGATCAAGGCAGAGCTGCACAATGTGTACCACCTGGAAGACACGCCCAGGCTGAGCCCCACTCCCGGTCCAGACTCCTAGGGTGCCCACAGCTCTCGCTGCAGACACTACCCTGGGGGCCTTCCCAGGACTGACCCCACCCCTCAGTGTCTGCCTCAAAGCGAAGACAGTGGTAGAGTCCCGAGTTTGTCTCTTCATTCATTCATTGGCTCCAGTAGCCAAATTTCTGCCATTTTTATTCATTAATGTTGTCAGGTGGTTTAGTGGGGAGGATGGGGAGAGGTGGGCAGGGACTGTCTCCCCACCCCCTGGACACAGAGCAGGACGGGCTGGAGGCTCCTGGAGGGGGGAGGACAGGGTATCAGCCTTGTCCTCCCCAATTTGTGCAAGGGCCCCCAGGAGGGAGGTGGGGGATGGTCACACCCTGCAACTCAGGGTAGGGACACAATGAGCTTGGGTTAGGGACCCACATCAGCGCAAGTTACAAAGTTAGAAGCCTGGAGTGGGGTGGCAAGCTCAAGAAAATACAAAACAAAGGACTGACTTGGGCCAAGATCCAATGGGGGGGGGTTCTTTCCTGGCCCTAACTCAGCAGTAACTTCTGGTCTGTCCTTCTGAATGTAGGGACCAGCTGGGTGTGGGATAAGGAGGAGGGGGACCAGCCCCCTCCCCTCCACGTCCTCCATTTCTGTACAGTGATCCTCGGAGCTCGCCTCCCCTCCCATAGGCTGGTGGAGCTGCCCTGTAGAGCAGGAGAGGCTCAGGGGAGCCCCAAGGTCCAGGCACCCGATGGGGGGTACGGGGCCCCCAAGGAGCCCGCTGCTTCTGGGGGAGGCGGGGAACAGGGGGCCCAGGATCTGAACGACTTCGGGGGTGGGCAGGAGGAGAGGAGGAGGAGGAAGAGGCAGGTGATGCGCCCCTGGGCCCCAGGGCTAGGTTGACATAGAGTGGCTCCGGCCGGGGAGGGCGCCGGGCAATGTGCTGGGAAACTGAGTGGCTGAGGTGGTCGGATGGAAAGCAGGAAGGGGGGGGTGGGTAGCTGAGCAGGAAGTCAGGGGACCTGTGGAGTGGCGGTGATTGGCCAAGCATGCCATATGAGGCATTGAGCCTGTCGGGAGGCATGGAGCGAAATGGACTCCACGGCCGGCTGGGGCCAGCGTAGGAGGTGCCCTCCCCTGCCCCGATCTCATAGTACAGATTCTCTCCCCTGTCAAGTGCTGAGGGGGCACCCAGAGAGTTCCTCCAGACCGGGGCTGGGGAGCTGGGTGGGAAGGATGGGGGGCCCAGGGAGTACAAGCCTTGTTTGGGGACCCCGAGGAAAGGTGGCAGACACTCCCGGGGGGTTGAGAAGAAACTGGGGTTAGAACCCTGCGAAGGGACGGCACATGGGGACTGGGCTGCCATCTCTGGAGCATCCCTGTAAGCCCCACGGGCCCTGAGCTGGGCACCGGCCTGGGAAGGGCCCCTGGGGCCCCTCCTTGAGGTCCCTAAGGGCCGCTGGCTTCTCACCGCGCTCTCATCACTCTGTTGGCTCGGGAGGTAAGGTGGGGGCCCTGGGGCCCAGGCACCTGGGCCGGCCAAGGTGGGAGGGTGTGGCCCGCCCCCTGAAGTCCCCACAGGCTCCCCGGCCCCCTCTAGAGATAGTGAGCGGCGGAAAGGGGAGTGGGGGGCAGGTGGGGTGCCCCCCTGCTCCTGTTGGCTCTGTTGCTCTGCCACCTGCTGAGCCCTCTCGGCCAAGGCCAGGGCCATGAGACGTGCTGGGTTCTTGGGGGGCGGAGGTGGAGCCCCTCCAGGGCGCAGCAGAGACAAGGCTGGGGGCAATAATGGTGACTCCACGGCAGGACCTACAAAAGGAGCAGGAGGGGGTCAGCTGGGTCCTGGGACAGCTCGGGGACTGACTGGGTGCGAGTGAGTGAGGTCCCCTGCACAAGACTCACTGGACTGGCCTGGCGCTCCCCGGGGACCAGTGGGTGCTAGCTTGCTGCTGAGCTCCTGCTGACAGGTGTCACTGAGCTGGGCCTCTGCTCCATGCAGCAGCAGCGGGATGAGATGGGGGCGCAGGCCTGGGCCAGGGCTCAGAGCTGGTGTTGCGGTGACTGAGGCAGGGGTCCCTCCAGCCCCCAGCAGTTCCAGGACAGCAGGTGGCACCGATACAGCCAGTGGCTCTGAGATGTCCAGGGCAGGAGGCGACAGGGCCTGTGGGGTTGCCCGAGGCGGGAAGGCAGAGGCAGAGGCCGGAGGTGCCGGGCTGGCAGGAGGTGCAGGGTCCCCTGGGGTAGGGCTGCTGCAGCGAAAGGTAAGGGGATCAAAGTCGAGCCCCCGAAGTCCTTCCAGACAGCGGGGTGGACTGAAATCCAGCTCATCGCCATCATCTAGCCAGGCTGACGTGCGGTGTGAGGGGGACCCAGAGAGTGGCCCCAGGCCAGCTGCTGAGGAGTCGGAGGAGGAGGATGAAGATGAAGACGAAGAGGCGGAGGAGGAGGACAGGCTCTCGCAGGAGCCAGCAGGTGCTGGGCCCACAGGGAAAGCATCAGTACTAGAGCGAGGCCGCCGCAGCCGGTGCAGCCTCTGGAGGCCTGTCGGGAGGAGGGGTCACAGTTAGAGGGGAGAACCTGACAGACAGACACAGCTGTGAGGACAGGCAGATACCATGTCCCCGGAGGACACCCAGCCTGACTCAGAAAGAGCGAGAGTGGTAGGACAAGGTTATGAACTGGTCCAGACCCTGAGCAAGGATGGGGGTCTGGTGCTGCATAACCTAGAAAGCATGTGAATGACAGCTTATCACACGCTCTGCAGGGTGTCTGGCTGTTCTGATCCTGCCTAGCTGCGTGCTGATCCTACACGACAGCAGCTTCACGCTTGGTCAGCTGGCAGAGCCATCTCCCACACTGTGAGCATGATGGGGATGGCCATTGGGTGGAGGAATGGTTAGCACACACACACAGACACACAGGAGGGAGTGAGAGCTGTGGGAGGAGCCAAGTTCACCGAGCAACACAGATGATGGAGACGAGACAGAGTCTGGCTGTGTGTTGTGTGCTCTGAGAATTAAGCTGCACGTACAGCAAGCTTCCCACTTCCCATGCTGCCCACAAGTGCTCCAAAGCAACTGGGACTGAGCAACACGTGTGACACATACACCTATGGGGTAAGCCTCCAAGTGAGGGTGACGGCCATCAAGAGGGTCCCTGTGGTCGGGGCAGCAGCGGGAAGGCACTCCCAGGGAAGGCATAGGGGCTCTTTTAATTGCATTCAGGGAGTTCTGGGGTGCTTATAATGTTATGTAAGTATTTTCAAAAGGAATGACTAACAAAGGACACTGTATGAGCCAGTGACTGTGGTGTGAACTGTCAACAGCAATTTATCTCTAACTTGTACCCAAAATTTATCTAGCTTATACCTGAGGCCCTGGTTTTAAAAAGTTTAAATCCTTTGCTGAATCTGATGACTCACACATGTAAACTCAATTCTCAGGCCCAAGGCAGTGAAGGGTCGTGGGGCCAGCAAGTTCCAGGCCAAACAGCAACATAGCAAGACCCAGCCTCCAAACAATAACAGCCCCCCCCCCGTGCCCCCTTGCAAAAACAAAACAAACAAAACACCCTCGATCTGAAGTACAACATTTGAAGGTGAAGCCAGGGCCTCAGTTCCTCCTAGCTCAACTTGGGCACATGTAGGGTCTGCCCTGTGCTCACCAGCCCCGCTGGCCTGCGATGACAGAGACTCCTCACTTTTGGCAGATCTCAGTGTGACGGTATCAGGTCTGCTGCCTGTAGGGAGAAGAGAAGTCACCAGCCTGTCCAGCACTACAGCCACTCCCCACCACCACCCCAGCAAGGCCTCAGCCTCTGACCTGAAGGCTGTGGTGGGGCCCGGCTGCCACCCAGCCAGGGCAGGGGCTTCTTCCGGGGTATGCTGGGGCCCCGCCCCAGAGCAAAGAATGTCTTCCAACTGCTACCCCCTGGCTTCCGTTGTTTCTCCCCCCTCTCTCTCTTCCTTCTGGAGTTTGGGTGAGAGAGAGTAGGCAGTCTGAGAAACCAGGGCCTCCCAGCTCCTCGCCCCTCACCAGCATCCCCCTCGTACCTTCCCACAGGTGAGGCTGGGGTCTTAGGAGTAGTGGGCTCGGGAGGCGTTCCGAGACGGCCCTGGGTCCGTGCCTGGGCTTCCTCCAGTGTCAGCAGGCGAGTGGAAGGGCCGCTTCCCGCAAGGGACTTGGGTCTGGGAAGGAGGCAGCGACCTGGAGAGGTCGGAAAGGAGACAACTATGAGCTCTGGGCCACTTGAGACTACAGGCAAAGCCAAGCGTCACAGCCCAAGCCCCGGCCCCGCAGCGTGCCCACCCGGGCTGGCAAGGCAGGGGCCGGTGTAGATCAGGCGGGAATGGGGGGGCAGCAGGCAGGTAAGGAGGAAGGGTTAGGCAGAACGAGCTGATGAGAAGGCAGCTCCCAGCAGCCAGCAAGGGCAGTGGCTCTGGTCAGTTACCTCGGGCCAGAGGGCCCTCCGACGAGCAGAATCCTGACTGGGCTGGGGTCCGGGGCAGGGCAGGGAGTCTGGGCGGGGCCAGGGTGGGGTCAAATCTGGGGACCTCCCACCTCCTCCCAGGTGGACCCAAGGCCCCAAATGCCCCCAGGAGCTATAAGGGGTGAAGGAAGAACGGCGTCCTGGCCGAGAAGTGGGGATCCTGGGCGTAGGAGCTGAAATGAGAAGGAGGGGGCGCGGGGAGGGATGGGCCGGGGTGGGGTCCTCAAGGAACTGGGGGGGAGGTCTAGTCAGTGGGGTAGGGCCAGGAGCCCACCTGCCCTCCCCCTGCAGCCCTGGCACTGAGAGGCAGTAGCCAGGACGTCAGAGGATGGGCTGGACATACCTGCAGGGTCCAGGCCAGCAGAGGTGAAGGTGTCACTGAACAGGACCTCCACGTGGGTGAGCAGGAACTCCACCACCACCGACTGCACCCGGACCTCACGGAAGGCTGCTGCCCCGCCCAGCCCCACGGACTCCAGCTCCATAGACCTGGAGGCGGAGCAAGTAAGGCCACATACCTTGAGCCTGATTGCAGGCAGGGTGGGGTGCCAATAGCAG